AGTTTTGATATTTGTCAGGAAGAAGGACACAGTTAATTTTGGCTGAGTCTATCAATTCAGAATCGTTTCTTTGGTAGTATTGTGATGATTAATTTTTATTTTTAAACTCCAAATGCACATTCAGTATTGGGTACAACTCATACTTGATACCCCATCATAAAGCTCAGTTTATTTTACACATCGTATTTTTGAACTGTGATGAGAAAAACTTGCAGCGACATGTGGTGATGAGGATAAAATACCCCTAAAGACAGATTAATATATTTTTTTAGAAGACTATGAAAGGAAGAGTAAAAGGTTGTTGGGACATCTGTGGAATGTTGAGCCTGTAGAAATGACAGATGTCCTCTGTGTTTAGCCTTTTACAACAGTTTAGGCTTATTGATCTGAATATCTTTGATTTTCTGGCTTTTCATTTTTAAATTTTTCATTTTTTCAACTATTATTTAGTAGGGATATGTATAAATCCCAGTTACTTGTAGTATTAACATCTCTTTTAGGTTTTTATGATCCGATCACTCTAACAATGTTATGAAGTTGTCAGAAATACAAAGTTCTGTCATGAAACTCTAGATGGCGCAGGCCGATAGATTCTAACTTAATCTGATATAATCACAACATTATTCACAGGCGCAGTTTCTTTTCACATCAACAGCCAATGAGCTTGCATTCAAATACTTGGCTAGTGCTTGCTGTAGCAGTTGCAGCACTCTTCAGAAACTCCACCTTCCCCAGCTCCACCTGTATAGATCTGCTATGGGGTAATTTCATGCATGTTATATGGTTGTTATTTCATATATGTTATATCTGCTACAACAGTATTTCCTATATACTCACAGCAGCATGTCTGTGGATGTTTTAGCAGTAGCAAGTCTCGATACTTGCTCTGCCACAGCATCAGCATAGCAGATCTATTCCGCCAAGACCAAACACATTAACATTGTTGTGTACATTACCATGCTAAGATCTCAGAGAGTTGTCATGACAGAAATATGCTAATTCAAATTCTGTGCAAAGGGAATTTTTAGAGACCTAGTGTCTCAAAGTATTTTTTTTCCCCACTTTTTGTCTATTTTTAGACACTTTTTGTCTGTTAATGTTATAATAAGCAGCAGAAATAGTTCACCCAAAAATAAAAAATAAAAATGCTGAGAATTTACACACCCTCAGGCCATCCAAGGTATAGACGAGTTCATCAAAATAATCCAGAAGTAATCGAAATGACTCCAGTCTATCAGTCATGTTTGTAATAAATTCATCATTACTGGAGAATATTTCTTTCTCCAGTGAAAAAGTCATCTTGTCTGAATTAGGAGAGAAATATGCACAGATTAAGTGTAGTTTACAAGTGAAAACAGTCCAAAACAGTTCTAAACAAGTGGGTTTTGATGTAGGAGGACAATAGGTTTTTCCTCTAGTTTTCACTAGAGGAAGTGTTATTATGGATAGAGGACTCATATTTTGGCCTGAAGCAATTGTTTAAAGTTAAAACATCTTAATGATACATGTGATGCTTACAAACTTACAAAAATGGACTGGATTATTTAGATTTTTTCAGTTTTTCATTTTGACGTCATCCATTGATGAGCAAGTAATGTAATGTTAAATTTTGTCCAAATCTGTTCTAATGAAGAAACAAACTCATCTACATATTGGATGGCCTGAAGGTGAGCAAATTTTCATTTTTGGGTGAACTATTCCTTTAATATGTGTGAATGGTATTTAATTAAACTGATCTCAGGGTAATTTTTAGTGGATATAAAAAGTCAGGTTTTCAGGTTCTCGCAGCTGTCCCCAGGTGTAGTTCATAATGTTCTACTAAGCATTGAAAACTCTAAAGTGTCCAAATAATTTAGTTTTAACATCATGAGCTCAGAGAAAGCTAATTCTTTCTCAGTTATGAGCCCAGTTCTTCCTAGCATGCCCATGAATGCTTCAGTGAATCGCTAAATTCCCTTTCACCTCGTTGGGAGAGAGTGGTGATGGCTGATAATGTTGCTGGTAAGAGCTTCAGAGCTCTGCTTTTCTCACTGGGTCACTGTGTCCCTCACAGACTGGAGGAAATTCTGAATCGAGAGCATGCTTTTCATCTCATTTTACTTGAATTGCACATTAATTTTAAGCTCTTCTGCACCCAAGAAAAAGTGTCCGATGAAATTATCATCCTTCTTTCAAATTAAAGTAAAAAGGTTTGGAACAGAGGCCATTTACTGACTTCTCTTCAGAATCTTGAAGGATTTACTGCCCATTTAAACCGATTTATATGCATTTAATGAGCAATACATTCTGTATGAAATAAAAAGGCAGGTCAGTCCTCTCCAGTGAACAAATCAGTGCAGTCAAGACTGGCATAAATTAATTTGCATTCCTCCAGATGTCATGAGAATTTTATGGCAATGTTTGCCGTCACTGCATTTCGAGAGTTTTATTTATTTATTTTTTTGAAGTTTTTGCCTTTATTGGGACAGGACAGTATAGAGAAATTAAAGCACATCTTTATTGTACAAGTAAATCTCTGGCAGCAACTGGAATGGCATTCAATTTCAAGATTATGTATTTAATAATTTACTGACTGCCCTAAGTCTTCGTTGTGAACTGTACTCTTATCCTTTGAATCCAAAGCCATTTTAGGGTTACAGGAAATGTCTGTAAAGTTAACGGATAATGTCTTGGCAGAAAATTACCACTACCTTTTCCATTTTTCTACATATTTTTTTCTTATAGTGTACCTAAATGATCAACAATTATAGGTACAAGCTAATATCAAGGTGTATCATAAATTAACTATTATTATTGAACAATGGCAACTAGGCAACATGTTGACATGCTAGACTGAGTTGCTGCGTGGCCAACTAGCTGATCAATGGTTTCCTCTTTTTATGTGTTTTAGAGGGAAAATGCAAATGAATGTTAAAAATAGCTGAATTTGTTGTTTGTTGCTAGTTACTTTTTGGGGGAAAAAAGTTGCTAAGGTAGTCTGAAAAGGTGCTAAATCTAGCAACAAATCTGCAAAGTTACCAACACTTTTAGTCCGTCACCAGTCACAGGTGGGGCTTAACCCTACGAGACAGCATTCCAGAATGGCCGTTTATGATTTATGGAGAATATAAAAAATGGGGCGGGTGGATTTTTACCATTATAGGGTGGCATAGTTATGTTCAAATACTATGTAAAATTTTGCATTATAGGTCCCCTTTAAAAAAGTAGTATTGCATTTTCAGTAGTTTCTGGCTCATGGATCCAACAAAAATGAATTAAAAACTATTACTAATATAAAACAGAGAACAGGAGCATGCTAGGGGCATTTTTCAGGATTTGATATCATCTGGGGTGAAGACCAAAACAACAGGGGCTTGTAGGAGGGTATCTCCTCTGAGAGATTAACATTTTATATACAAGATCATTCCGATCACCTCATGTAGTTTTGTATTAATGAAGTAAATTAACAACATAACATGTGGATATGATCCCAGTGCTTGTTCGTGTCTCTTTTCTTTTCCTTTTTTCTCTCACAGTATGGTCCCTCCCTGAAAGTAATTAGGCAGATGTGCAAGTAAACATTACTTGCTTTGTTTCGCACATGTGCGTGATTATTATTAGTAACATTACTCAATGTTCTAATGTTTTATGGCCTTATTTGCCTTCAAAAATCTAAAAGATGACTGTATTTCAATCATTAAGAGCCTGATGAAAGGAAAACTTTGTCTGTGTGAGACTAAATAATAGACTAAGTCCGCCCACTGTCACAACATAAATGAGGCTAATAAAAATGAGGTATTAACTGACATCAAATATATTTGTTAATTAAAAACAAAAATGTTGGGACGCTACAGTGAACAGCATGAGAAGTGTACATTGTTATGATGAGTTATGCAAACACAAAGGTTTGGGTTCGAATGTGTTTCTGAATGGTTATTTAGCAGCTGGCTTTGGCTAAAATTTTCACAAAGCAACTTTTTAGGTTTTAAAGCTGAATATCTAGCCATTTCTGGTGTCAGATGTCCAAAAGAGCATCCAAACCACAACAGATTAATAGAATCCATTAATATTATCAGCACTTATTTGTTTCGACTTTCTTTTTGAACAGGTTTCTTCAGAGCAACATAATTCAGATGGTCTCAAGCCGTGCCTTCGGCGGACTATTCAGTCTAGAAAAACTGTGAGTTCTTTTTTCTTATCTTTCACTTCAGATCACCTTTTTAAAAAGATTCAAAATATTCTTTCTGTTCTGGTGTTACTGATAGTCAATGCCATTTCTTGAACTTCATGAGAAGCCAGTGAGAGAGGTGTTCAGACGTCTCCAGCCGAACTGGAGATGAGAAAATGAAAGTCCCAGATTGAATATTGAACAATGTGCCGCCCAAGATTGTGGCATGTGTTCAATGCTTCTTCTGCTATTGCTTTAGGTGTGGAGCACAATGGCATCTTTGGGCTGTAGATCGTTCTGCTCATGGGGCCGAGTAGGCACAGACTATTGTTTAGTCAATTGTCCCAGAAGTGAGGAAGGACAAGCTTTATCCTGAGAAGATGATGATGTATATCATTAGGGAAAGTCAGCTCTAGATGATTAATGACTTCTTACACAGTTTTGTAGGAATTACAAACTTACCTTTTCCTTTCTATTCCAATCAGTTTTTAGTTCATTCAAAAGCATCTCAGAAGAAGCACGACATGAGTCAGAAATGAGTTGCTATGCTTGTATTCATTTGGATTCCTAATAGGGCAATTTATTCTTTTTATGTCTGTAAATCAATACTTTGGACAATTTAATGCTTAACCTTGACAGGGGACATAGCTTTTTTTTTTTCTGTGTTTATAATTAAACGTTGTCTTTTGTGCAGGTTTCTCAGCCAAAACCACATAACATATTTAGGACCTGGTGTATTCCGAGATCTACACAAGTTAGACTGGCTGTGAGTATGCATTGCAACACTTTAATGTATTAGAAAAGGGGAAAATGGCTTCTTCTTGTGCTTTTGCATCAAATATCAATCACAAAATAAATACAAGTAGAGAGTTGAGACCGTGGTCAAACTGGAAACCATCAATTAGCCACTATTTGTTGTTTTGTACTAGTGTCATGAAGTTTTGAACTTTTCTTTTTACATTTATTACATATAAAATGTAATGACTACAACAATACAGTAACATACATATTTAGTGTATCTATATACACTATTATATTTTAATATTTTATGTTTATTTTTTATGTTTCAAGTGTTTGTTTTGTTTACTAAATATTTTTTTTAATTTTTTTCTTGAACTTCATCCTATAGTTTGGCGTTACACAATATCTCATCTCATATTTAGTAATATTTGTTTGTTTGTTGTCTCCCTTGTTAAATAGATGCTTAATTAAGTTTGGCATAATCACACAGAAAAGATGTGGTCTGTGGAATAGCTCTGAGTTAGTAGAATTTGGCTCTGGAAAGTGCTGAAAATAGAATGTGGTTTTGCAGAAAGAAGCTGAGAATTACTTGGGTGGCTTTTCGGTTGCCAAACCCAGACGCAGGTTGGGCAGATTTATGTAGTACTTGAACAAGCACAGTCACTGACAGAAGATTTGCTAACAAGATATTTCTTGTTTTTGTGCAAAAAAAAAAAAACATTTTATAAAAGACATTTCAGTTATTGTATTATTTTTTTTTCCCTCAGAGTGTTAGACCACAACCCACTTAAAACCATTACCTGCGATACGTTCATCGGTCTGAGGTCACTGACATTTCTGTAAGTATCTTGGTGTTTTAAAATATTTCATGGTGATTCTTCACTGTGGCATTTTGTTTAATAAGTTGTCCTTACAGTTATCTCTTTGATGAAAATGCCAAGCTTTGTTTTATTGTATATTTAATCAAGCTTGTCCCTGTTTCTGATCCAATTGTCTGACAAGAAATTGAAAACTATTTCTAGGATGTTGTTTCATGAGTTTAAAGTTAATTTGACTACTTTTCCCCTGTGTTTTCCTGTTACTATGCACTAAATCAAGGCAATGGCACAATTCCCACAATGATTTGAGATGTTGAAGACATATCTGAGTTTAGCAGTACTTTTGCGTTCACTTGTTGGTTACAAGTATCATCAAGAGAATGTCAACAGAAAGGCACCTCATCGTTCAAGTAACAACAAAAGTAATCTAGGGTTCATTAACCCTGAAACTCAGCTAATTTTGTTTCTGCAACAAGACTCAGCAAACCATCTCTGAGACAACTTTTTGATCTTTTCACCGTAACACAGAACTGTCTGTACCCACAAGAAAGCTAACAGACATTTTACACTTTTAGATTTCAAAATGTGGGTTGCCTGAAGGCCGTTGTGCATTTGCCATTTGTCCAAGTAGTAAGAAATTCATTATCATAATGATAACCCTCATCAGAATGTCTTTAATATCCCTGGAAATGTCCTCTGGCTTCTAGTTTCACTGCTGAGACAGAAATGACTAGAGTACAAAAGTGATATTTATTTGCATCACATCTGTTTTTTGTTCATTTTTTTCCTCTTCTCACTCATTTTCATTTTCATTTATATTTTATTATTTTTCTCTTTTCCTCTTCCTTCTATTATTTTCTTATCAATGTTCTCTTCTGATTACTGTCTTCTTTTATGAAATATTTTATTTTGTCCTTGTTAGACTCTGTCAGAACCTGTTTTCTATGGGGCTATAGTCTTTTTTCTAAAGACAACAACTAAAATCCAGTGACTTTATTGCATTTTTATGTTTATGTTTTTTCATCAAGATTTTTTTACATTTTACAAACATTTTGATGAACATAAAATTAATATTGTTCATAGAATATAGATGGATTTTTGTATTTTATTACTTATTTAATAAAAAAAAAAGATTTGAATAAAATATCGTGATAAATTTACATAATATTCTCTAGGTTGTACATCAACCCTCTTACAATCATATTTTTTTCCTTTTAAAGTAATGAACTACTCCATAAATAAAAAAATATCCCTCATTTTATCTTATGTTTCGTAACCATTTTCAGTAGATTTACTAGAAATATTAGCATTAGCAAATAAAATGAATTCTAAGTTTATTATATCTATTCGCTTATTTATTTTATTTTATTTTTTTATTATTATATTTTTATTGTAATTATTTATTTTTAGCTTCTCAAACTGGAAAAGGCACTTAGATCATAGAACGACCCGCTGGTTTTCAGGCTGATCGTGTGTTTTTCGTTGGGTGGTAACTGAAATATTAAGATTATTTCAAGTAAATCTGAAACATTTACACAGTATTTTTCCCACACAGTATTTCTAAGCAAAAATCTGCAGCATGCAAATTGCACAGACTTTGTGGCCCATGTTTGCGCTGTTACATGATTTGCATAATTCATTTAGTGAACCAGAATCTTTACAAACTCAGACACTGTGTGCAAATAAATTGTGCATTCTTAGTCAATTATAATCAGAGGCGGACTTACCCATTAGGCAAAGGTAGGCAACCGCCTTGGGCCCCCAAAAGCCAAGGGCCCCCTAAAATGCTTTTCATCAACGAGATGCACATTAAGCACGGACAAGCGAACAGCTGCTTTTTATGGTGTTTATCACCATGACAACCATCTGCGAGTCCGAGTTGAACACACTTCTTGTGTATCCTGCTTGTAGCAAATGAAAACATCATGCATCTGAAGCTGTAATTAAATATTGAGCAACAGTGCATATTATATGTTTTAAATGCTGCTACTTATCCAAGTAGAGGACGCATACGCAGTTTGTTTGGTTGATATAATCCTTAGGTGTGTAAATGTATAATTGCCTTTTCATTATTTTTTTCATTTTCAATTTAATGTGTAGTTAAAATAACTAAAATAAGTGTATTTTAAAGCTTAGAATTAGACAGCCTTTGGCACACAGGCTTACGTTGGTAACTCATCACAGTCATCAGTGGACTTTCCTCCTCAATATAGGCGATATTTTTTCACACTTTTCTCATTCTCACTAATTCAAGTTTTTATATGAATGAATGAAGGGAGCCGACTGTCTTCAGAAAACTTTCCATGGCATTTTCATTTTATCTGATAAAGTAGCATTTATGAGCACAGCGCTGCTTTGTTTACTGTAGTTACCGAGGAAACCGCTGTATTTCTGATGTTCCAAAAGCGCTTCCTGCTGGTAATAATCTCGTCTGCAGTTTTTGTTCAGACCAATGCGAAAATCCACCCACATAACCCCGTTTTAAATTAATATCATAATTTATACTTCCGACTCATCTCTTTTCTTAAAAAAATAGTTTAAAGGCTCAGTTGTGAGGTTTATTATTTTATAATTGATTTTGTTTTTGTGAAAACTGTAAATCAATTGTTATTTCGTGGTCTACAACATGAAAGAAAGCCATTATAACATGGACACAACTGTGGGGCACCATGATGCAGCAGTAAGCATGACAACAAAAAAAGGAACCTCAAGGCTAAATACATAGGGCTCCATTCATATATTTTGCCTGGGGCCCCCAAATCACTAAATCCGCCCCTGATTATAATCATAATTATAATTTTTTGCTTGTCCGTCACAGCTTTATGAATGAACATATGGCACAATTTCATATTATTTGCCACTTTCGGCTTGCTAAGTATAATTGAATCACTGAATCATGTTTCATGAATGTTTCATTTACGTTCCTCCACTTTAATAAAAATCAGGGTTCTCTCAGGGTCGGCCAACTAATAACAGAAAAAACCTAAGAGATATTAAGCATCACTGCACAGAACAGTCCCTCATGAGATTACCTTTCATGAGTGAAGGTAAGTATCTAAAGTCATTCCAGAAGTGATTATACGCTTGCCTGTAATGTTTTCTCCTGTTCATTTCGCTTTGTGATACCCGTAATTGCTGAAATAACAGTAGTATGTCTTCTGAACAGTTTCCAGAAGCCTGGTTCTGTTTGCAATTTAGCCATTGCATGCAAAAGCTTAGCTTGCGGGAGTCTGTATTTACAGAAAATTATTCTTTGAGCCCAATGATGCATCCATATTGGTGTGACTCCGTACTGGACTGAACTGCTAAATAGACAGCATTGTGAAACACACAAAAGTAAATATGGGAACTGAACAAAAAAAAAATCTGTGATTTATTATGAAATAAATACAACCTTGTAAATTAGCTGTACAAGTGTCCACTGAATAATAAGCACTCTATTAATCTTTCATTTATGAGAACAGATAAAATTGTTCTCTAAATTTGCATAATAAGCTAAATTATGTATTGTTTGCATCTAAGGGTAATGTCTAATTTCCTGGTGTTTTTGACTAAATGAATGACCTTCTTTCAGAGGAGATGTTTTTAAATTAATATGTTAGTTCATTAGTTAGTTGATAATAATTAAGGATTCACTTGACAAGAACTAATTTAAAAAACAATTTCCAGATAATTATGCTTGTGAAACAGAGGACACCTAATAGCACACAGCTAGTCTGGCAGAAAGCCTTGATTGTTTTTCCTCTGAAACTGATTCAGTCATATCTAAAAGTGCTGCAGGGGGTTTGCTGAATTTCTACAGTAAAGACCTTCAAGGCTCTTGCAGTGACAGTCTGCACATCGAGGCTGTATTGCCATTTTAGGTGGTTAATTTGAATCTTTATTCATTTTCAGATCCATGGTTAACACGTCCCTGTTGTGGCTCCCTGACTCGAGTCTCTGTCAGCACATGCCCTTGCTCAGGTGGTTGTGAGTATTTCCTGTTACTGGCCCTTTTTTCAACTCTTACAAAGTAGAGGATCATGCGGACCTTTTGTAATGCACAACAGTATATATATACACACAGCATTTTATTTTATTTTATTTTATTTTATATATTTATATTTTAAAAAAATATGGGAAAAAATTAAGTAAAAAAATATGTATTGTATGTATTTTGAGGATTTATATGTTATTTGAGATACACACTAAAATATAAAGAATTACGTTGAATTATGAGTAAGGCTCAAAGATGGTTTGGATATAACATCACGGTTAGATTGGTTAAAATGTCTTTTAGAACCATCCACTGTGGTGGACACCATGCATTATAGGGTGAATTTATTTGCTGGCACACATGCAACATGTTAAAGGCTCATTAGAGGAAATAAAAAGAGTTCTCCTGTGTTTATAATTGTTTAGGGCATCATGCGACTCACAGTAATCCTCCTGGCTGTACTTAAATCATTCTAATTCACTGAATTTTCCTGACACAACTAGTTAAACTACCAGTGTTTGTGTATGATACTGTAATAATGTTAAAGCCTTCTTAGCTTGACCATTTATTTCTGTGCACATGTGCATGTGCATCTTGTTTAGAGACAGTAAGAAATACAGCATTTATTTTTGATCTGAGTGGCCCCAACATATCAAGCTGATTTCTCTGGAAAGTTTTGGTACTCTGGGAAGTTTTTTTTTTGTTACTTTTAGCTGTAAGCGTGTATATCTCTGTATGTGTGTGTTTATACCTGCATGTCTATTAGTATATTAGTCATCTGGCTCTTTGGTTTATTTGAATAGGTCATTCTAAGGTTAATGAACAGAAAGAGTCTGTAACACTTAGCCGATGGTCTCTGAACTGAACAAATGATACCGCATCATAGCGTTTTTGCTATGAGGTAGGTTTGAATTTAGCAAATCTCACTCGGTATGAATCATATCATCTCTCAGCGAAATTCCACAGCTGTCCAAGTAAAACCACTTAATATAGCTTACGTTGTTGTCAGCAGTTGCTTTGCTCAGATAACCCTATGCCTAGAAGACCACACTCACTCAAAAACTTTAAAGATGTTTTTGTTAAAATTTTATGGTCAACAATTACCTTAAAACCTGATTATTCCTAGACAGGACACCCACAGACTGACCCACAATTTACTGACCATCTGATGGGTATTGCACACAAAACTGGAAAGCATTTTCTCTATCTGGCAAGCTTTAATCAGATTGGCGGATTTTAAGCAGCTTCCTGGAGTAAGGGCACACCGGGTTTATTATCAGTCTACTTGGAAACAAAGTCATGTTTACGAGGTACCGGTTGATCCAACGAGTGCTTTTGTGGATGAAATAATCTCTAGATCTGCCAGTTTTTCAGGTTAGTAAGAACAAAACAAACTGTGATTTCAGAATCAGAATCAGAAAGAGCTTTATTGCGAAGTATGCTTGCGCATACAAGGAATTTGTTTTAGTGACATAAGCTTCCAGTACACAGAGACAACAACAACAACACACATAATAAAAAATAAGATGAGAATAAAAAAAAAAAAAACATTTAAATATAAATAGACAAATATTGAAAAATAAATCGAAAAATAAAATTGTATGTACAGTTGTGCTATAGATGATAGAATGGAATAGGATAGAATGAGATGCAGGGATGTACTAGGATGGAGGTGGTAACAAATAAATATAAGGTTATTGCACATTTTTATTGCATAATGTGGGGAACATTTAACTGTTCATGAGATAGATTGCCTGGGGGAAGAAACTGTTCTTGTGCCTGGCTCTCCTGGTATTTGCGGCTCTGAAGCGCCGGCCAGATGGTAAAAGTTCAAAAAGGGGATAACTTTGATGTGAGGGACCCAGAGTGATTTTCTGAGCCCTTTTCCTCACTCTGGATGTATACAGTTCTTGAAGGGTGGGCAGGGGAGCACCAATAATCCTTTCAGCAGTCCGAACCGTACTCTGTAGTCTTCTGATGTCTGATTTTGTAGTTGAACCAAACCAGACAGTTACTGAAGTGCACAGGACAGACTCAATGATGGCTGAGTAGAACTGTTTCAGCAGCTCCTGTGGCAGGTTAAACTTCCTCAGCTGGCGAAGGAAGTACAACATTTGTTGGGCCTTTTTAACAATGGAGTCGATGTGAGTATCCCACTTCAGGTCCTGAGAGATGGTGGTTCCCAGGAATCTGAATGACTCCACTGCAGCCACAGTGCTGTCCATGATGGTGAGTGGGGAGAGTGCAGGGGGTTTCTCCTGAAGTCCACAGTCATCTCCACAGTTTTGAGCGTGTTGAGCTCCAGGTTGTTGAGACTGCACCAGACAGCCAGCTGCTCGAC